AGCTTCCCTATCTTGCCTAGTCTGGGAGTTCTACCTTGGGTTCCTTGCCAGGAACAGGGGCTTGGCAGTGAATGAGGGGCTTTTTCTCTAGCTATGGTATGGGGTCTATAGTCTGTCTGTTTTCTCCTCTCACTTTCCACTTATAGATTAGTACTGAGTAGCCTTGACCCAGATCTTTAAAAAGGTAAACAAAAAAACAGGATCTTTTTACCTCAATACCATCATGGGCCCCTTACTCGCTTGTCAGTTTTCTTACGTCCCAACACGTATTGTGTAACTCCAATGGCTCCCTCTCACCTTCAGGATCAAATGGGAAATCTTCTGGCATTCAAAGCCCTTCAGAATCTAACTCCCTCTTCTTACACCATACTCCTTGCCTTGTACTCTTTGATTTAGTGACACTGGACTTTTTTTTTTTTTTGGACACTGGACTTTTTACATTTCTATGAGCAAGACTTCTCAGTTTGGGGTATTTTCTCTGGCTCTCTCTCATGCCTGGAATGTTCTTCCTCCTTATCTCTGCTCCTGGCTTCCTTCAAGCCTCAACTAAAATCCCATCTCTACAGGAACCTTTGCCCAATCCCCTTAATTCTGGTGCCTTCCCTCTGTTAATTATTTCCTATTTATCCTGTATGTAGCTGGTTTGTACATATTTATTTATTTTTTTCTCTTCTATTAGTCTGTGAGCACCTTGAGGGTAGGGATTGTCTTTTGCTTTTTTATATCCTTAGCTCTTAGCACATGGCCTGGCACATAGTGGAGACCTAATAAATCTTTATTGATTGATAGATCTGGAACTACTTTGTCTGTTGTCTGCTAGAATAATGGTATTAGCACTTATAAAGGGCATTAATGTTTACTAAACCCTTTACATATTTTAACTCATTTTATCCTTAGGATAACCCTGGGAGGTAGATGCTCTTATTATCCACATTTTACAGATGAGGAAACTGAAGCAGACAGAGGTTAAGTGACTCGTGCTGGGTCACACAGCTGGTAAATGTTTGAAATGGGATTTGAGCTCATGTCTCCCTAATTCCAGTAGTATTCACTGCACTCTAGCTGCCTAGAAAGGTCTTGGATGGACAGCCAGACAGGCAGAGAGACAGACAGATAGAAACAGGGTACGGCCCAGTGGAGGACTCTGGTTTCCCCAGGGCTCACGAAAGTAACTTAAGTGTGAAAAATCTGGGTTCTAGTCTCAATTCTTCCACTGCTTGGTCCATAGCAAGTCACATAAGCACTTTAGGACTCTGTTTCCATACCTGTATAATGGGGATGATGGCTCCCTAGTCTTTTATTACCAAAGCTGTCAGGGACATGGATTAATGCCATTGCAATACTAGGGAGCCTAGGAGATTAGAATACGCAGGAGAGAGTTTACAATCCATTTGGACTCTCTGGTGAGAGTGACAAGGATTTTCTTCAGGTGGTGGTCAGGTAAATCCCTGGATGGATCCTCCCTTCAGTGGGGTTCTGCTTTCTCTGCCTGACCCCTCAGGTAGTCAGACCTCCCTCGTGGGCTACTGGCCCGTCTTCACTGCTGCACAGTCCCCCAGGTCCACCCTAGCCTGCTTTCACCCCAGGAACTGGGTGAGTTTTTAAGTGCCTGCAATTAAGGGATGTGAAGATATTCTTCTTCTTTTTTTTTTTTTTTCAATGAGGCAATTGGGGTTAAGTGATTTGCCCAAGGTCACACAGCTAGTAAGAGTCAAGTCTTTGGTCTGAGGCCGGATTTGAACTCAGGTCCTGCTGACTTTAGGGCTGGTGCTCTATCCACTGCGCCACCTAGCTGCCCCGATGTGAAGATATTCTTGAGCACATTTTAAAAGGTTCTCTCTCTAGTACAGTATCTTTCTTGAGCATCACTCCTACTTTTGGACCAATGTCATGCTGACCAAACCCTTGGCTTGACCCTCAACCACAACCTGGATTGGCCAGAATGTCTCTCAGTTCAGTCCTTGGCATCTCCCTATGACTTTGACTGTGTCCTAATGTCACCCCTTGACCCAGCATCCTGTGCTCTGGGGAATGTCTCAGACACACTCCTGAAATACTGGAATCGCAGAAAAGTGTCAGAATTTCTGAGCAGGAAGGGCCCTCAGAGGTCATCTGAACAGTCAATCAATCAATGAACATGTATTAAGTACCGGCTATGTGGCTTGAAAGGGAAGCTCAGGAAGAGCTGCTTTTCCTCTGCCTGCCCCACCCCCCATCCCCTGTGATTCTGGCTAAGTCCCTGAACCCCTCCAGTGGCCCCAGGTAATTTTCCAATACTCTTAAGTTGCAGGACAGATGCTGATGTCCATTGTTAAAGTTTTTTTATCTGAGAATTCTCTATACCAAGGAAATCATAGTGGGGTGTGTGTGTGTGTGTGTGTGTGTGTGTGTGTGTGTGTGTGTGTGTG